TACTTTAGGATTAAAACTCAAGCTGAAAAATGCGTTATGCTTAATGAGCATTATCCCCGAGCAAGACAGTATAGAAGAAGTGTTCTTGTTGTGATTTGGGTGTATCTGTTGCGGGATGCTTGTCGTGTATAAATAAGAAGTTGGCCGGAACAAGAGAAGAACGAGTGACCTTTCCTCCTAGATATCACAAACGGTAAGTAAGATTCTGCGGCACCGACCGTTTTATACCGCTACTGACCACCACAACATCGGTAGAGCGACTCTAGAATCTCAATCTGCTACAGTGAAGAACTCGGTGGAATCCCTATTTCCAAGAATTTATAGAATCGTGGAAGAGACGAATCCGAAATCCTTGGCGTGTCTCCAGATGGTTGCAGAGGCGTAAACACAACGCTAACGCCAGATGGAAGCAGAGACGAAATAACAAGATTTCAGTGCGAGCAAATGCTCATGCAGGAAGTGACCTTCGATTACGAGAGAATGCTAACACCACGCAGATACCTGTGCACCACTTTACTGTAGTCCTAGAACAACTACGAGCAACAGCGATTTATAGGAAAATCTGTGAGAAGCCCAAAACATGAAACTTCTCCGAGTGTTACTGAACTAATCGTTCCGCTGAACATATACAGACTTCGAGATGCGCGCAGGCATCGAGCATACGAGAAACCAATAAGATGTACTACCTAGTCATTCGCTACAAAAGCTAAGGAAACAACAACATTTGTCAATCGTAAATCCGCATCAACCGAAGTAAATAAGCCAGACAAGTATAAGTAAAACGTATGTATAACTTATAAGTAAGGTATAAAATATAGGAAAACTGACAAAAGTACAAAGATGTGTACAAGGAGTACGTACTATCCACACCGGTACACGTCATGCTTGTTTTATTGTTTTTGTTAATTTTGTACGGTACCTATCCGTTATTTGTTAGAGCATATTATGTGACCGTATAGTACGTAGCATTACAATGGATCAGATCAAGAGGTTCGAAAAGCTGAAAAAGAACATGACTGCATTGATGCAATAGTAACAATACAGATACGTCTGTGTTTTTTTGGCAGTGAATTATGCGCGCTTTCTCCGCAAGGGACTGGCTGATAAGTTTACCGGTGCAACAGATCGTGCACCAAGCGCTGCAGTTAAATAAGCGGGAGCGCACAAGATTTGTATCGCAATACTGGTCCGCTGCGAGGTGCCAGTAAAAACTGATTGCAGTACAAGAGTTGAAAAGTTCTCGGCTGCTGTAATTTGTCTGCATCCGGACACGTTGACTTTTAACTCAAACAAATGGTAATTCCTCTAAAAAAAAGAGTCCACCTCACATTATAAGAACTGTTTCCACTTCAACAAAAGGATTCTTCGCGAAATGCCACGAGACTCGCTAAAGTTAAGTGCAAGCACATTTCCAACAACCTTGCCGCTTGTTATACATGTTGCATTGCCGGTAAAATCGTTTAGTGGAAAACGGGGTATAACACGAAACTGCAGGAGTCGGCATGTGGACGCTCGTTCCTCAAAGTGGTTAGCGACGACACGATGCTGCTATTACCCGCGTCATGCTGGAATTTCAGTGAAAGTGTGTCGATACGGAAGAAATGTCCAAACCGGTCAGGGACAATGTTGCTGGAAAATCTCCTCGAATCCAGCTGACGTATGTGATGTGGTCAGAAATGGTTGAGTGCCACAGGAAAGATCTAACTACAGAATAAAAGGAAGCGAGTTCCGCATATTTCCATAATAATTCTACTGTCTGTTTTTTGGCGAGGATAACCGTTGCCGGTTAATAGAACTAATCCTGCCTTAGTGAATCATTGTTGTTATTGGGAGAATTGCTGGTGCACCTGATAATCATGCGGATGCTCTACCTTTTACTCATTGGGATTTGCGCATGTGTGGTGAGTGTGGATAGATTAAAATTATTATAAAATGGACATTTTCAGTTCTGTGTATTTAGGGTCTATTTTATTTATTGCCTGTATATTTAACACAGTGTTACTGTTGTGTTATGAGCACGTGTATAGAGTGTTGGTTAATTTAAAATGCTAAACAAATTACGAATAACGCATTAGTTGATAGGCCAGAAAGTAACGAAGGAAACTGTACATATACAGACTATTTTGTCGTAACCACCAAATTTATGCACGATTCCGTGGCAGAATCTGTAGCTATATTGTAGAGTTGTATATTCCAGTAGGCGATGCATTATTCGTATAATTCCAGCTGTGGACCGGCGTCCACGCCACGGGCCATAAAACCACAACGGAAGCCTCCCAGAAAGGTACGTTAGGTAATTAATGAAATGCGACGAATAGCCTGCAATAAATTAGTTACTGCTGTCTGATCCTCTACTTTCGAAATCATAGAGGCTGGCAAATCGCATGTCGTATTGCGTACACGAATTTGCAGGGTACAAAGTTAGTAAAAGTACAGGGTGCCACTAGGGTACTGAGGTATCTAATTAAAATGTTGCTGTTAGCGACTTAGCGTCACTACTCGTACCTTTGTTTAGCTTACCATTTACATAATAAGCGACATTAGTGCTAATACCAGAAGTGATAATAATTTCCAGTATTACACCTCCGTGTTCTTACACCTACTTAGTCGGTCATGAAACGGACGACAAAACGGTGTATGAAGGTGGCAGCGACTTCAAATACCACTATGGTGAACCAGATGGATTTCTTGGCTGAGGGGCATTCGGCATCGTATACCGAGGCACGGTCATTGCTTAAGGAAAGTCAGACGATGGAATGCTAGTTGGTGATAGAGTGGCAGTTAAGGTTTCCTACCCCAGCGAACGCGATGACGCATCCTTGGCTAGCGATAAAGAGCGTTTCAACAAACTGCTGCAAATGGATCATCCAAACGTTGTCCGGTACATGTGTATCTCAGCTAAGCAGTCGGGAAAGAGGCTAACCTTCCGAAATTGTGATGCCGTTTTACAAAGGTAGGGCAAGCGTACCATTCACTGAACTGCCACTTGAGCAAGCCAAGAACAAGAAAAGGACATGCTTAAATCCGATATATGAATATGTTTATGTTTTCTACTCTACGTTTTGTAACTGTTGAGAAAGTAGATCGTAGTGCATTACAGTAAGTGAAAAAACAGGTTAAACAGCAGCGGTAAATTCGAGAAGAGATAGTACAATTGCGAACATAGGGCATCAAGTCGAAAGAATGTAATCAGTATGTTCGTTGAAATTTCGGAAATTTTTCGTGAGGTATTGGTCGAGCCCGTATATGAATGTAGTAAAGCGAAGGTATGTTGTAGGCGGTGACCTGGCTAGAAAAATGGAAAAGATGAAGAATGACCTGAAGACGCTTGGTATCAGTCTTGACGAGAAGATCTTGCAGGGTTATTTGAGAGATCTCGCTGAGGACTTTGTTACATTCATGGGCAGCATTTCATCCACACCGATATTAAGCCCGAAAACGTTCTCATTCAGTTGTCCCTAGACGGACGGGAGAGCCTAGTAATTGGCGACATGGACGACGCCGCTTATGTGGGGGACAACAAGGAGACCGTTGAAATCGGTTCACGACTGGGCACGGTGTTCTGGGCTAGTCCAGAGCTGCTGCACTATGGCGTTCTTGAGGCACCAAAAAAAATCCGGATCAGAAAACCGACATTTACAGCCTTGGTTGCTTGTATCTACGATTATCCGCGCTCTTTTTTGGGAGTCCCACGGAACAGCTCCGTAACGCTGAGGGCAGAATCCCCATCAGCAAAAGGACTGAAAGGGCGTGGCTACGTTTATCTGGTTGCGGACGGTTTTATACCTCGTGTCCCCGAGTCGATGCAGCCGTACGTTCAACACGTTCTTCGTAGATGCCTCATCTTTGATGCGAACAAGCGAGCTACCGCGCAGGAGCTGGTTAGCATGCTGTCATCGACTGATGTCAACATCGATTAGATTCACAGCGCTAAACGTGCCGGCAAAACGATCGTTATATAGCAATCTTCTACCCGTATGGTATCAATTTTGTTTCATTATGCTTTCCGCATGTTCAGTAGCAACAGCAACTGTTGCATCTGTAGTATTTTATATTATTTTGTCATTTTACTATCTGCCTTCCTGCTGAAGCGTCATATTACAGATTCTATTTTCTATATGTGACAGTTTCGTACTGTCAAACACATTAAGTTTTGTACTGAAATCGTAAGATCTCAGTTTTTAATTTTTCTGTCGTTATTCTTGCACGCTTCTTGTAGGTTCTATTAAAATAGAATGATATGACACGTGTCGTTTACAGGTTTTGCGCGGTAGGTTTAGCGGTCACGCAGCTGCGTACATCAATCTGCGTTGGCGTAAGTCCATGTAAGTTCGTTTAAGACATTGTTATCCGCGTAAGTTAAAGTAAGCTACGTAAGTCAACGTAAGCTAATGTAAGTCTATGTAAGTTCGTGTAAGAAATTGTTGTCCGCGTAAGTTAATGTAAGCAACGTAAGTAAGCCTAACAAATCTCAAAAAACTTTGCGCTTGCCTTACGTATTCCGTATTCGGTTTTATGCCCAGACCTGGGTATACTTATAAGTTATACACACTGATTTACGTTTCCTACTTTGACCTCTTCAGTCTGCATTAACTTACGCTGACTTACGTGAACCTAAGCAGACTTACGTTACTTACATTACTTAATAGTTGAATATGTAATCTACTAATTTACACGAGCAACAGCTGCGGAAACACCCACTTACGTTTACTAACGGTGCCTTAAGCGAACCTACGTTGCTTACAACCTCTCTACATGTACCCACATTTTTCTGTATACAAAACGTGCCATAAGTGTATTAAAATGAAAGATGTTGGAGAACAACAGCGGAGCAAAAGAGTGCACTATATAACAATAAAAAAAAAACAGTGATGCAGTCGATAGTAGTACTCGATACAAATTTTGAATAAAACAGTATTAATACGTACCATACTAGCGCTATCGTCTAATGAAATGAAACCAAGGTTTCTGATCTTTATTTGTAAATCTTGGGAAGCCAATCACGTTGATGGTCTACGGTTCTCGTTGATCTGAGACAGTTGATCGAACACCTGGCGCGCAGATATTCTCTGGCTACTGGCGAAGCAGAGACAGTTGCGGATACACGCGGCTAGCTCGGGTGGCACAAGCTCGGCGTCAAAAACGACCGGAATATACCCTTGCATAACCGCTGCCGAAAATGCAAAGTCGCTGATAGCCTCAGTCGCACCCAACACTTTGCCGGTGACCGGATGCTGCAGTGTTTCTCGATAATCGCCCGTAACACTGCGGATCAACTGCAGCAAGACACATCCCAAGCTCCACACGTCCGTTGCCGAGCCGGGCATCGAAGGCCACGTGGTGATGGTTCCCAGGGGTTCTATCGCATGAATCATTTCCGGCGACATGTAGCGCTCGCTGCTGCGGAAATGCTCTCTGTTAAGAGAGCTGACGCAGCATTTTTGCACTGTAACGAGGCTGTCCAAGTCAGAAATGCGCAGAGTCTCGCGTTGGGCGTTGTTGCCATCGATGAGCATGTTTGTTGGTTTCAGATCGCCGTGAGTTAGGCCGTTCTCGTGCAGGTACGCCAGTCCGTCAGCCAGGTCCAGTGCGTGGCTGAGGGCATCTCCCACATTCAGAAGCATTCCGCTGTCTTTCATCCCTTTCAACTTACTTTTCAGGTTGCCTGCTAAAATCAGACACCCAATAACTGTACGTTCTTAATGACAAATCAAATTAATTTCGTGTTCCAGTGGAACACGAACAGTACCACTAAAGTGACTAAACTGCACACAATCCATCTACACAGCTTGTTTCATCAAGCGTACAGAAAAAGATCACGTTGATAAATTTTAGTGTGACTGTTGTTGATGGACAAGCTACGGCTGATCTAGCCATAAGTACGTTAACTTTAAACTAAAGGGAGGATAGAGATTATTTTTCGTTTTTTCATGTTCAAAATTTTAACTGCAACGTATAATATCCGCGTTTGCACATTACGCTACTTTGATGGCTACTGCTTAAAATGAGAACACTATACTTAATTTTGAAGAAAAATGTTTTCAGCATGACAGACATCGCTACTGTAACTTGCCTAAAATGCGTTGCACATTTACTTACCAGGATAATAGTCCATGACAAATTCCACACTTGCACTATAAAATGTGGGAATAATGGAGATCTGATGATAGTTCGCCAAGTGGTCGTGTTTGAGCTTCAGCATCATTTCGAATCTCTCCAGCAGTTTGGCATAGTTTTCTGGATTTTCCACAAACCTGTTTTCCCTTACATGGAAACATCTCACAGCAACAACGTCCGGTCCAACATAATTGCCGCGTTCCGTAATGCTGGCTTTGCAAGTCTCGCCGAAGCTTCCTGACCCAATGAAGCTACGAGCGTTGTGCCTATCGTATCGATACTGGCAAGTGCTCCCGAAACAGACAGTTTGGCGTTGCATCGACATTATGTTGCGGAGGCGAATATCGACGGCCGGTATCGCAAAGAAAAGAGAAAGTGATCAGTAGTGCTTAATAAGCGTTTGACCAGTCAGTACCATTTACACAGAAAGGGCATTCATCATCCTTCACGCCAATGTGAAGTACTTACTACGTAAGTTTATTAATATATGCTTCACCCAGACCAACACAACTCAACTGAATGATAACAACAATATCCAGACGATCAACAAAGTGTTTCGTGTTTCTAAGAACCGTTGCTAAGAACATATCTCGAGAATCGTAATTATAAATATAAACATTAATTATGAGTCATACATCACATCCCCTCACACAAAGTATGAAAAACGCAATAAATAGAATAAATAAAGAAAAACGGTTACGCGTTCTTTTGTTTGGCGTTTCTTTCCGGTTCATCCGCTGGCAATTCCGGTTCAGCCTCAAAATGGTCATCGTACGCTGGATCCTCGTTGGCTTCCTTGGCGGGCTGACGCTCCCAGGCCTGATCCTTCTTCGCGGTACGCTTCATGTGGCAGTACCGCTCCACGTGTCCAGGTTTTCCGCAGTGATAGCACGTCCGATTGGTGACGCGACGCGGGTTATCGTATATGAAAACTAATTTCTTTACCAACTTAGGCATGATTAAATGACTGTTTAGCAACCCGTTAATATAAATATATGCCAATAGCGTAAGTTAAGCTTAAAAATGATAATGTTACTTCCAACTGAATCAGACACAACTGAATAATTCTTACAATATTTTTCGACTACAGTACTTCGCAGCAATATGTTGCTAAGCGTGTAAATTTTTTTTTAATTCAGTCGTAAATCTCGTGAAAGTTAATGCTTTACATAATCGCCAAACCTGACCGGCTCCTTCCGCTCACGTTCGCCACGGCGCACTGGCTGCTCAGCAACGCGTGTAGGAGCTGGCTTAGTTGTTTTTCGGGGTTTTTCCGTGGAACGAGCAGGAGGAACAGTACTCGTACTTGGGATAGTACTCGTCGTTGGTAGTACTGGTACGGTGGGAATTGCAGGCTCGCTTTTCACGCTGTCCTGGGCAGCTACTAAGCTTCGCCCTTGCACTTCGGCTGGCGCAGCTACCAAGCTTCGCGCCTCTTCCTGCACACTTGCATGTGCACTGGTCTCACTGACCACTGGTGTGCCATTAACACTAGCAGGAACTAGCACTGACATTTCATGCGCTTTAGCGGCTAATTGCGCTTCTACGTGCTCTTCCGCCGTTAGCCATTTACGAGCTAAAATCTGATTATTATGGCGTCTTTGTATTACACCATCTACCTCAACTTCCCACATTGTATTGCCAATCGGTTTCATTAGCTTTCCTGCTGCCCAGTCTCGCAGTCTATTTTTCCGAAAATCTTTCACTTGCACGTGCTGACCAGCCGTAAATGTTCGTATTTTGGCTTTTCTGTCAAAATTCTTTTTCTGTCTCGCACGCGCATCTAGGTAGTTAGCACTTTCCGGATGCACTAAATCTAACACCGATTTAGTTTTGCGATTTAAAAACAATTCACACGGCGATTTTCCTGTCGTACTATTCAGAACATTGCGAATACGACTTAAAAACTCTCGTAATGCGACTGCCAAACTTTTTCCCGACTGCATTCCTTTTTCGATTCCCTTTTTCACCACGTCAACATAACGCTCAGCCTGCCCATTAGACTGAGGATGACCAGGTGCACTGGTCAGATGCTTAATTCCATACTGTTGACAGAATTTGAAATTCTTCTGACGTAAACTGACTTCCGTTATCGCTAACGATTGTATCACACAATCCGTATCGCGCAATTAGATTTTCAAATATTAACACCACGTTCTCAGTATCAGCTTTACGAACGTCAAACACTTCGAGCCATTTCGAATATGCGTCTACAATGATAAGTAGCATTCGCGTTTTGAAAGGTCCCGAAAAGTCAATATGCAGCCGCTGCCACGGGCCCTGCGGCACCGGCCACTGCTGTAACGGAACTTTTGTCGGCTCCTTCGCTAATTTTGCACAAATTTCACATGCAGCTGACACTTCCTCTAACGCTTCATCAATATTTGGCCACCGTACATGGCTTCTGGCTTCGGCTTTCATTTTAACAATACCAGAATGCGTGGCATGTAAATAATTCATAATACGGTTACGTAATGTACTCGGTATTACCACGCGGTTATTCCATAGCAGACAGCCATCACATACTGAGTATGCTTCTTTCATGCGTGAGTACGGTAACAATTTTTCGGCCACGTTCTTTGGCCAGCCATTTAAATGATACGTCATAACTTGCTTCAGCTCATCATCTTTGGCTGTTTCAACACGTACAATATCCGCAGATACAGGTAAATTCGACAGTAACTCAGTCTCTACTAAGTTCACCGTTTCGGACATTCCGAAGTCTTCCTTATCAAACAAATCGATTGAATGCAACGGCAGCCTACTCAAACCATCGGCTTGACCAAAGTCTTGAGTACGTCTGTCCTCTATATTGAAGGTATATCCCATTAGTATAATTGCCCATCGCTGCAACCGATTTGCTGACACTACAGGAATGCCTTTCTTACTTCCGAAAATTGTCACCAGCGGCTTATGATCTGCCAGTAACAAAAATTCTCTTCCGTACAAGTACTGATGAAATCGCTTGACACCAAAAACCAAAGCCAACGCTTCTTTCTCAATTTGACCATAATTTTTCTCTGCTGACGATAGCGATTTAGACACATGGGCAATCGGTTTCTCTGTGCCGTCGGCTAATCTGTGACTCAGCACTGCGCCTATACCGTACTTAGACGCATCGGCCGCCAATACAAGCGGTAACTTTGGATCGAAATGCACTAGCTGAGTCGCTTTTGTCAAGTCATTCTTCAGCAATTCGAACTCTCGCTGACATTGGTCATCCCACTTCCATACAGTTGTCTGCTTTAATAAATTATGAAAACAACTGCACCTGCCAGATAAATTTGGCAAAAACTTTTGCATAGTGATTTACCATGCCGAGAAATTACCTTAATTGACTCACATCTTGGGGCGGTGGCATTTCTACAATAGCGCGAGTTTTGTCTTGCGAGATATGCCGCCCCGTACTGTCAATTATAAAACCACGATGAAGGCATCATAAATTCACACTTCTCTTTCTTAACCGTGAGTCCGTATTTTTCCAATCGCTCAAGTACTGCCTCCAGATTTTTCAAATGTTCTTCATCATCTTCACCCGTGATGATTATATCATCAAGATATACTGCTACACCTTCACAACCTTGCAGTATATTTTCGATTAATTGCTGGAAAATACTAGGCGCAACTTGCTACACCAAACGGCAATCGATTGTACCGAAACAATCTTTTATGCGTATTTATCACAAGCAAATTTGCACTTTCTTCGTCCAACGGTATCTGAGCGTACGCTTCTCGTAAATCGATTTTACTAAACTTTTTACCACCGTTTAATTTTGCAAATAATTCGTCAGGATGTGGTAACGGATACTGGTGTACATCCAGCGACGCACGCACTTTTTTCTTAGGCTTTTTGATAGAAGTAATTGGTGCAGCCCATTCTGCATAATCAACTGGCGTGAGTACACCCAATTTTACCAGCCGTTCTAAATCTTTCTCGACTTCTTCTTTCTGTGCAAACGGTACCGGCCTTGCTTTGCAAAAAGAACAGGACGAGCGCCATCTTTTAAGTACAAGTGCGCTTTAAAGTTTTTACAACAACCAAGCTCGTCCCTAAACACTGCCTTATATTTCTGCAGTATTTTTGCAAGGCTAAATTCTTCAATTCTACTTACAGTACCTTGCTGTAACTGTTTTAAGCTTAACGCGCTCAACTCCAGCTCTGATATCCAGTCACGGCCAATTATACTGCAACCTTGTTCAGTAACCAACGCTTTTAGTGTCTTCGTTACGCCACTATGCTTCACTGTCACTTCTACCATTCCCATTAAAGGAATAACATGGCCCGTAAAACTACGTAAACAGTAGTCAACTTTCTGCAACTTCGGCGCACCTAATTTCCGCCATGTTAACTTGCTCATTATCGTGACTGACGATCCCGTATCTAACTCCATATTCACAGTCTTGCCGTCAATATTTAACGGGACAAAAATTGACGACGGGGTTACTGGTCCAGTACGCAAAACATCATACGGTATTCTCTCAACATAATTCGTTCGTCTTTGCCCTCTCTGACCACGCCCTCTTCGTGGCGCTCTACACACTTTTGCCAGGTGACCTCGACGGCCGCAGTTATTACACTGTGTGTTCTTATGGGGACAGTCCGGTTTCATGTGTTCGGTTGAACCACACCCGTAGCAAGCTGCTTTACTGGACCGCTGTCCGAATCGGCCTGGTCCTCGGAACCTACCGCCACGGCCTCTACCGCGACCACCATACCCACCGCGCCTAATCGCTGCTACGTCTGGAGAAGACGATCTACCGCCGACCATCTGCTTAGCGTCTGCTTTACTGGTTTCGTATTTATCCGCCTCTTCGTACAATTTATCGAATTTTTCTACAGACGACACTGGCAACGTATACAAGTAACGGCGCGTAGTTTCACTGGCTACACCTGACATAAATGCAGCACAAAGCTGGTCATCTACAAACGCGTCTGGAAAATCACACTTGACGCACTGATTCCTTAAATCGTTCAAAAATCTAGCAAAGTCTGACCTGACTTCTGCTTAATCGAAAAGAAAGTAGCACGCTCTACTCTTATATTTGTTCGTTTGCTGTACACCAGCTTTAACTTCTCATACAGTTCCTCGAACGTGAACTGACCTGGATCCTTCGGGCGACACATAGAGGCTAGCATCTCCATGGCCTTCGGATTCAGGGATCCCAAGAGTAGTGGCTTCTTCTTGTCATCGGTCATTTTGAACGATTCCACGTGGCTATTAAACTGTACACGCCACGTTTCCAGCTTCATCGTGTCTGGGTCAAATTTATTTAATTTGGGCAACCCGGTGGAGTCATCATCACCCGACACCCTAGTATTCGGCGTGCGTGTCTGAGCGCCTGTCACTCCCACGGGTGACGTGCCTCCCGTAGCCATGGTCAATTACCACGTTTGACCAGTCAGTACCATTCACACAGAAAGGGCATTCATCATCCTTCACGCCAATGTGAAGTACTTACTACGTAAGTTTATTAATATATGCTTCACCCAGACCAACACAACTCAACTGAATGATAACAACAATATCCAGACGATCAACAAAGTGTTTCGTGTTTCTAAGAACCGTTGCTAAGAACATATCTCGAGAATCGTAATTATAAATATAAACATTAATTATGAGTCATACATCACATTATGTTGCGGAGGCGAATATCGACGGCCGGTATCGCAAAGAAAAGAGAAAGTGATCAGTAGTGCTTAATAAGCTAGCTATCTAGCCCTTGATGCACTATTGGCAGCTCTTCGTCCAGTTTTTTTTGTAATGTAAACCAAAAGTTTGGCGGCATGGTGTTTTCTGGACGCACTTTCTTGCTGAGTTCTCTACAGGTTTATATACTGTAGCAACAGATGCAGCATAAAGTAATACTGAAGTGCATGACTAGCACAAGAAATATGATGATTGACTGCATTGTGTACGACTTGCCGCCGAGCCGACGGCGGTGTGCGTGAATGCACTCGTATCTCCCTGAACCATCAATACTCACCCATTAAAATATAGTTACTGCTCAGAGACTGCAGTCACGATGGCAAATACGCTTAATCAATCAACACTGACAAACAAACAAAATTATGATATCAGTTATGATATTTTTTTTAAAATAGTAATGATACATTTATGCGTCTAATTTCTATGCAAACATGCTCCTACGCAATTTTGCATCTACATATGTTATGCAATATTCATTATAGGCTTTTAGCGGTCTTGTTGTTACCGCTATAATATAATCATTTACGCGGCAATTTCCGCACTAATGTCAATAATTCAATCAAGCATTTACTTTATTCTATTGGATGACCCTTAATTTGTTTCTGCAAGAGTTTATTCATATATTTTGTCGCTTCCGAATGGCCTGTTCACGTGCAAAATCCAGGAATGTCAGTGTCCGGCTGAAATTGGAAATGAAGTGGTTGGGAGTTTCCACTGTTGGGCGAGATGCAGAAAGCGGGCCTGAACGAGAAGTCAACAGACTGATATAATATATTGGGTAATGTATTGACAAATAGTGTGACAAACCACCACTCTTCCCGTTGTATTTATTATTCGTTAGGGTGATACATGGTGTTCGAGGAATATGTAAATGCTACTGACATTGCTTGAACAACCACACAGGGCACGGTAAAAACACATAGTATTAGTGACACTTGACTTCGCCCGTATGTATCATCAATTAGGGATCGGTGTGCAACAGTACTGGGTGCACACGTTCAGATATTCAGCTATGGCACGGTAAGTACACGTTAAATATTTTCGGGTATATGTTTTGACTTAAATCCATAGTATCCCACGGTATTCTCTTCCTATCCTTCATGTACCCTCCAAATTTACTCCTTCTTTTGATCACTGCCGTATCCCAACTTATCTCTGCAGTATCCATTACACATCTAAAATGCATCCCACTAAAAAACCAAAGGGATACTTGAAAAATACTCGACGGATACAGTAAGGATACGTTAGGATACAGTGGGATACAGAAAAACTGGATAAGCCCCAATTCCAAAGCTGTATTCATCAAGATACATGAAGGATACGAAGAGGATACTGTAATTTTCGAAGGTGAATTTTGAATGCATATTCTTATCGTATTGATGGCGTTTGCCCAGTAAAGAATTACCCGGAATCATAGCCCATTTGTAAAACAAAGTGCCAGGTACACTGTATAAGAAATAACTCAGGGTCTTCAAAGCGTGTCCTTATGCGTAAATCAGGGAATGCAAGCCGGCCATTTTTATGGTTTATGGTTCACGCTGATCTGGGACACCTGATCCAACACTTGACGGGGAGATATTCTCTGGCTGCTGGTGTTGCACAGGCACTTACGAATGCACACGGCAAGCTCGGAAGGAACGGGCGCGGCGTCACAGACGACAGGAACATACCCTTGCATAACCGCTGTCGAAAATGCAAAGTCGGTGATAGCTTCAGTCTCACCCAGCACTTTTCCGCTAACCGGATGCTGCAGTATTTCTCGATAATCGCCCGTAATATAGCGGATCAACTGGTGCAAGACGCATCCCAAGCTCCATACGTCCGTGGCCGAGTCGGGCATCGGGGGCCACGTGGTAATGTTTTCCAGTGGTTCTATCGCATGAATCATTTCCGGCGACATGTAACGCTCGCTGCTACGGAAATGCTCGTAATCCAGTGAGCTAACGCTGCAGCGTTGAAGAGTAACGAGGCCATCCCAGTCGGATATGGGCAGAGTATGGCGTTGGGCGTTGGAGTCATCGATGAGCACGTTTCCTGGCTTCAGATCGCCGTGAGTTATGCCGTTCTCGTGCAGGAACGCCAGTCCGTTAGCTAGGTCCAGTGCGTGACTGATGGCATCTCCAACTTTCAGAAGTATATATCGCGATAAAAAAATGATGAAAGACAACGGAATATATTCCGTTGTCTTTCATCATTTTTAGCTTACCTTTCAGGTTGCCTCCTAAAATCGACAAAGGGCGTGATCAGGATCAGAAGTGAACAGCTACGCTGGTATACCTATAGGTAATGCACCGCATATACGTAAACATTACTGAACAAGTACGAAACCAGTTTGCTCGTTCAAAATTATTATCTGTGCTGCTCGGTTGATGTTCGTTGTCCAACCCACCGTTTCCATAGCTGAAATTAGCTGGTACAGTTACCATTAACTTATTTTAGTACAAACGATTTACTTTGAGCTTTGACAATTTCTCTGTTATTGCGCGTAGGTCGCAACAAACACAAGTGTTCCTCATTCAGCATCCTGTGAAAGAGGTACGCAATAAAGAGCGATACGCGCGTATTACTTCGAATTTGTACCATTTGCCAAATTGCTAATCCAAGTTAAAGTAAGGAGCAGTGTAAACCGATCCAAAGTGCAGACTGTACAATCTCCATAAAACGGGAAACAACTATTATCATAAGCGCGTGCTCTAGGAGTATAAGAGGAATGGAATGAACAGTCACACGTAAACGTCGTTCCTTCTTCTCATACTTCTGGAGCACGGCAATGATGGGACAGATCGAATTTTACAAAAAACGCCTGAGGAATGATGTGCTCAGCATGGCAGCCATCGCTAAATCGAATAAAAAGCGTTGCGTATGTACAGAGTCTGCACTAACCAGGATAATAGTCCATGACTAACTCCACATCGGCACTACAAAGTGTCGGGATGATGGAGATCTGATGGTAGTCTACCAAGTGATCGTGTTTGAGTTTCAGCATCATTTCAAATCTCTCCTGCAGCCTGGCATAGTTTTCTGCATTTTCCACAAACCCCTTTTCGTGTACATAGAAACATTTCACAGCAACAACGTCAGGTCCAACATAATTGCCGCGCTCCGTGATGGTGGCTTTGTGAACCTTGCCAAAGCTTCCTTTTCCAATGAAGTTACGATAATCGTATCGATACTGGCAACTGCTCCCGAAACACGCTGGCTGAATCGACATTGTATTGCGGAAACAGGCGCTGACGGGGCCGACACTTAGACAAGAAGTGATCGATTTAATTTTGATGGTAGTGCTGCTCTTTGTAGACAAATTATTCGAAATTGGCAGCGTATTAAACTGTACTCTTAACAATCACAATATGCTTCCGCTGAGCTCTCTACGGCTTTGGTTGTGAAACGGCTTCACAAGCACGAGAAACGTCGAGAATCTAACTCATGCTTTAAAAACAAAACTGTATACGGCGTGGCGATGAGTCACCCGCTGCCTGTTCGAGCGCACTTATAATTATGATTTATATCTCATTGAATGGTACGAGTGCAGTGTAAACTGAATGCAGAAGTTGGTGGCAGTAACAAAATAAAAGATAAATTTAAATATATCAGCTACTGAGTGCTGAAAGCGAGCTAGCAATATAATAATTACGGACAATATAATTATGCGGAATCCGCTTCCTTTTAAATGGTAGTTTGATCGTCCCAACACCGCCTATCCATCTCTGTCTGTCCCCGCCATATCACACGAGCAGCTGGATGCGAAGAGTTTTCCGAAAACTTTGTCCCTGGTTGGTTTGGGTTTTTTTCTGCATCGACGCAGCTCCAGAAGCACGCTACAGAAACTACGGTGACCCTTCTTACCTCTGCGGTCGCCCTTCGATACATTGGTTTTAAACTCAATGCGATCAGAATAACACCCACAACTTTGGCAAATATATAATGTGAAGTATTGTTAGATGTATATTTTAATATAGTAGACCCCGCGCAAACTGCGCGGAACAAATCAACGTACTGCAGAAAATATAAACTCATTATTGCCAAATTAATGTGGCTTTTAAAAATTAACATTAAAATAATTTAATTTGACTTGCAAATACTGTAATGACAAAAGGACAATTAATCCACGGCCCACACTTCCTTTTTACCTCACTGACAGTAACTACTCCGAACTGTCCGTTAGTTCACAATTCTACCGATAACATTATGTTTGTATGAACATTTACAGCGAAAATAAGTACTCTCGGTCCGTTAACTGGAAAGTCGGGACATCAAAAATATGAACTTTTGTATTCCGGAAACGTTCTGTTTTTTGTGTAACTTTCTAACAAATTATTTTAGTTTTACCTGGTCAGCCACCAAGCAAACTCCGCTCAACTTTATCCCCAAAATTATTTCTGCTCGCCCCTTTTGCGACTTTTTTAATTTCAGTCGGCCCGGTGATAGCAAATCAACTGATTCACAACCGCTGTTGTCCTTGCCTTCCATTACTGGTTATAGTACTTACTTCCCGGTTAATAATCATCATGTCTTCAGCCATAACTATTATTTTCAATGCGTAGTCGTTTTTACTTTGATAGTTTATACGCAACATTTTAACTACTTATTTAAAATTTTATCGCAACTGTTGTGACATCCGGTAGTTAATCCAAGGCCCCAAACCGTCTAGGGAGTCTCATTGTGTTTTATACTGTGTAAATGTAATGCATAATCATTTTATAACCAAGCGTCACGTACGATTCTTTTTTAAATAAGTTCTATAACATTCGAAAAATGTGCTCTCAGAAAGGGTCAGATGATTTTCGGCAACAAAGACAATCGTACCCGCCCGTGGGAGCATTGAATTGAAAACTGTTCAAACCGCTTCGGCTGGCAGCTACTTTATCTGCATTCTGCAGATCTTGTAGTCCCCGCTTCTCCACAGTGAATGTGAGCCCTTTGAAAATCTTCCTTCAGCCCTTTCATTTTCTTCCTCGAAACTGACTTTCGACGAAAAATTAATAAGCTCAAAAGCTCCCAAATGACATACGCAAAGGTTTGAATTTAATTCTGTGTAGTGTTCAGCGGAGTTGTCGGAGTTGCGTTTCTGGCTGTCTCATAGACTCTCACTCTGTTGGAGACAGTGGTGGCGTGATTGGCTTGGCAGTGATGGGTTCTTGACTTTTCCCGTAGACTTTGTATGGTATGTTTTTTTTTAAATTTTCTTTCAAGTCTCAAATAGTTTGAGAAAACTAACCCGTTTCTGCAAATCTATGATCGCAGCGCTATTGAATGATCTATAGACAATCAAAGTTTGGTTCAGTGTATCGTTTGCAAAAGGGAGATACGAATGGAATTTTGCTAAGGTTTACGCTATTAATTGTGACGTTGCGCAAACACGCTTCTCGTGGCGGTTGCTACTTCTCGTCGCTTTTAAGTGTGTTTCTTCGCGCCTCTCGAAAGTGTAAAAGAAACTTGGCGTCGTTTATCGAATCTCATCTTGTAGCTGCAATTTTGGCTCGTGAATTTTTTATTCCCGAAACGCCGCATTTGTTTGTTCATGCTTGTATCTTTGCTCACGCAGCCACCGATGGCATTGCTCATCCTGTAAATACTGGGATATTTGGAGCTACATCCCATCAGTGTTCCATATTAGGGAGGTTAGTGCAATACTGGATAAACTTCAGGAAAGGTAGACTTGTGAGAGTCCGTAGTAGTGCGCGTTTAAACGTGCGAACCTTCGCGGGTTCGACGGCACTTTGCCTCGAGAATTTTGTGTAAACACTCGATAAACAAAACAATTAATTTCTTAATTTGACTTAAATTATAACCTGCAAAGTGGATGATAAAAGGAGAGAAGATTGTGTAGATTTATTATTACTCTTGTGTAAACGGTATGTATGGCAGATGACAACTGTTTTCTATACGGTCTGATGAGCAGGTGAAGTGCTTATCACAAACACTTACAGCTACTGAGCTGCTCGATGAAAAGACCTTTATTGTGCTTTTCGCCAATTGTTTAGTGTTTAGAATGAGGTCAAAAATGAGTTATCAATATTATCTGCTTATTGTACAGTACAATGGATAATTTATTCGTATGAACGAGTTGCATTGGTTTTTATTTGGCAGGGTAAAAATTGTGGATGTCTCTCTGTCGGCTGTCTTCACGTCGTCATCGTTGCGGAAAGCAAATCACGGTAAGTGAAGCTCTGCAAAGCCAGTAAATGAATCGCAGTTTTTGAAGGGTTTACTTAAATATTTTTTAAATTTGTGAGGTAATATTTTTTAAATTTGAGAGGTAATATAAAAGGTTGCGTGCAGGCTGCTGGATTTCTCTGGAGCGTTTCGGTTTTGGACATCGTGTGAAACCTACAACTGTTACCATGTGGGATGTCGACGATGCAGGTTCTGGTTGGGATGCCACCGATGTAGCTTCTGGTTGGGATGCAGTGGATGATGCCGACGGAGCGCAGACTTGTCTTTCTTCCGTTACTTTAGGTACATTTCCAACTTGACGAACAGATTCTATTGGCGCTCGCAATAGAAACTATACTTGTAGTTTTTTGATGAAATTTTTTAACATTTCAGATCCCCTGCTAAGAAACGACAGAAGCGAAAACGATCGGTTAAACAGCAAGAATGCGATCTCGAGCTGATACGGGCTGTAGCGGACTCGCTGGTTTACTCAATGCCATTAGTTGAAAGGGAAGCCGTTTGGAAGAAGATTGCAGAGAAAATCAGCAAGCCTGAGCAGATAAGAAGCACCAAGTACTGTAGAGACAGAACGCGAAAACTGTTGTTGGAATACAAGGCGCTGAAAAATCCTAACGTTGACCCCACTGGTGACGAACAGCAACCAGAGCCTTCAGAGTTTGAGCAGTTTTTGGAAACTGTTTATGCAGCTGAAGAAGAGTCTAAATCAATGACGGAAGCGCAGAAAGTGAAAGAGTCAGAAAACAAGAAGCTGGTAGAAAAACTGGAGGAGAAAGCCAAACAAAGAATGGCCCTTAAAGCAGCGACTAATGGAGATTCGAGCGATCTTGACTGGGAGATGGATGAAGGTAATTTTTTAGCGGTGTAGAGTTAATGTCTGTACGCGATCGTAATTGCTTCTTGGTCAACTTATTGCTAATGATTGGTTGCAGATATATCTCTTGTGTAATTTTGTTAATTATTTGTAATTTTGTTAATTATTTGTAATTTTGTTAATTATTTAACTTATCTGCGTTGTGAATAACTGTAATCAAAATTGATTAATGCACGACTGGCCACAACAAAATGCGAATATTTTGTGTGATTTTATTTAATGTATTGTTTAACAAACCAGTAACGGTCACTGCGTTTTCTTTAATTTACAGAAGCCCGAGTGCGTCATGAAGAGGAAAATCCGGAGATGTATTCAGCAACTGGCACACCGCGCAAGAAAAAGAGTCGAATGTTTTTTACCCCAGTTAAAAATACGTCTCCGTTTAAAAGTGTGTGGGATCTGGCAGAAGAAATCGCGATCAGTTATTCAAGGAAAAATTCCGCAGCGAGGCGCAAGTGCGTAAAGAAGAATTACAAGATAAACGAGAGGCCAGAGAATTCGATCGAGAGGAAAGAGAAAAGGATCGACAGTTAGAACGACAAAGGCTGGACGTTGAACGAAAAAGAACGAAAGTGATGCTACAGCTAGAAATGCGCAGTTAACTCTTTTACAACAAAGTCAGGAGACTATGCGAGATATGATGATGCTAGTGCTGAAAAGAATTAAGTTTTTTGGTGTTTTATGTTCAGTTTCAATCTAGAGGTCACAATTGCAGCAAAATTAGTGAATAGAAAAATCTTGACATACTCTGAAAATCATGAGCAAGTGTGTTTGATCACGAGGACCAGTGCGCACTTCCACTGTCAGGTAATTTATGGATTTCAAGATCAGGAAACTTCTATACAGAAAAATACTCTTTCAGGGTTGGCGGATGACTGTCAAAATAGTCGCCGGTCTGACTGCCGTATAAACAAGTATGGGCATTCGCTAGAATTACTGCAACGGGAACATATTTACCTGGCTGCGTAAGAAAAACTTTCATATTATCTCTGTCTGTTATAAACCGAAAAAGCTGTTCAACTTTTTTAAATCCTTATTCAACACAGATCCGAAGAGGTTTCATTTCGTCGTTCATTTTTGCTTGCCATGAGCCGACTGTTGTGTTTTTGTAAACCGGCATGACGTACAGGCTTTTCGCATAGGCACTGTCAGCGTACACCATAAAGCGATTATCCGCAGCAATATCATATTTGTTGTTCAAGTCCTGGATACGATCAGCAAGGAGACTTCTTCGAAATACCGTACTGTCGTGTAATTTTCCGACACACGGGCCATCAAACTGTAGAATCAAACCATTCGGAGCTTGCAAGGATTGAAACTTCAGGGCATGATATTTCTTGTATGAAAAGAACTGTCTCTGAATTTCATCTGGTCCTTGAGGGCGACAAACTTCAATCAGGGTTCCGTCCAGATATCCCATACAGTTATCGAATAGACATCCTTATTCAACATTTTTCTGGCACAAATCTTTGAAAAACGCTTCAGTTTGATAAGGAGACACAAAAGTATGCAGCAACCGGGCCACAAAAGTATCGTATATATGATTAACACACCACGTAAAAATTCTGCTGATTGCGCTTTCTGGTTTTCCAAATATATTGCACACTTCAATCAGGCGTCCCTTAATGGCCAGTCGTCGCAGTAGAACACATAAACATTCGATCCCGCGTAAAACAGACCTGTTATCCAGATAAACAATATCTGGTACGGAAAGAGCTGTCTTTAAACGATAAATATCCAGAAAGGTGAATCGGAAATTCGCAATACATTCATCATCAGTGAAAGAATTAAGGCGAAAATTAGTTTTTCGCTCGATATTCCACACCGGCCGATTCGGTTCAGAAAGAAAGAGAAATTCTTCATCGTCGATCGCATCACATAGGTATAAATCTTCTAAATGTCTATTCATTTTTGCAATATTCTAAGATGAATATTTTTGCAATATTCAATAGCTTCGCAAATGTAGTGTACTGATACAGCAGAAAATTCAAAGCCTACCAGCTACAGCATTTGCTTTGCGCAAGCTCAAATGTGACCGGTGTTTGCTTCCCGTCGCATCTAGTGCTAAAAGCGACGAGAAGTAGCAACCGCCACGAGAAGCGTGTTTGCGCAACGTCACTAATATATAGAGATTACATTTATTACTTGTAGTTAACCGTAGGAAGCCAGCATTCGTACTGAGTCAGTACTACTTACTGCTACCGTGCTACGTACTCTTGTACGTGTTAACAGCATACGTCGGTAACCAAGTAAGTCAGGAATAGGCAAGATTGTAATAACGCAATCAGATTTACACGACTATTGCAAATATCAACATAGGCAAAAACCGCCGAATGAGTTCGAAATTTTGCATGATGGTGTCATAATCAATGTTTTCGCTGGTCGTGGGTGATCAATGGTTTGGTTAGTCGAATACTCACACAGAACCCATTCTGTTTGAATACAGTACTTAATTTCACCCGGCTGCTGTCTGTCGCTAGATTCCAGGCGCCATTGGGGTGATCTTTTTTGTAAGCGTTTGCTGTAAGTTCCTTCTTCAAATTACTGGCGAATCCCCTTGTACCTCAGCCGCCATTTCGCCGACCGGCGTCGTTCCACTTTTTGGACAACTATACAGTAAAATTGTTTTGCTTGCTAATGCTGACTAGCGTGTAGTGTCGACTGCACTTATCTGCGTGCCCGGAATCGAGAGCAGTGATCACATGGTTAGGTGATTAAGAAACTGGATATGTTTGTGCAACCATCAGCAGTATTTCCAGTCCATGTAAGCGTTAGAAAATATCGCAGCGGGTGATTGCCGTGTGCAAAGCGTGGAGACGACAGAGACCTTGAAAAAGCAATACTGTTATCGGCCAAGTACATGAGACTTCTCATCTGCAATGCCATGACTCATGACGACATCACACGAGCCCGACCCGTGTCCGTCAAGGTCGATCGTCAAGGACACTGACATCACAGTTATGTCATTATTGCTCATTATTAATCATAATGATATCACACTAATGAATCACGGCCTTATTCCAACCGGTCCTGTTCCATATATAAAGGACGCCCCGACCAGCCGGAAATCATTCGAGTCTTTTCTATTCTGCTGATCAGCTAATGATTAATATACTCGTACAGAAGTGGGCGATGGTCAAAGATTATTAAAAGGTCGTGCACACCTGGTTGATTGGTTCGTTTGTAATATATAGGTAAATGGTCATCGTTGACCTTTCATTAGGGCTCATACACACAACACCGTAGGTACACACACAGGTTAAAGAACTGAGAACTCGTCACCATTGTTGTGACAGCAAGAACGGTTTGATGCAAGAAGCAGTGAGCAATTCCGTGCCGTGCATAACAAAAAGCAGTCGCTTACCGTTTGCATGCTCTCGCACTTTGTGTGCCATGTTAATGGATACTTCGCTTCGTCCATTATTTTAATCAGTACCACTTTAGGAATCAATATATTAATCACTTTTACTGCATATGTAGATACAGTGCTGGTCTTGCTGCATAGATTGCATGGACTGAATGGCAATGCATAGACTTCATTTGAGTCAGCCGTGGTTGTTCATGTAGCCGCCCGCCACAGAGGCTGTCAATTCAGTGAAGTGATTAATATATTGATCCCTAAAGCGGTACTGATTAAAATAATGGACGAAGCGAAGTATGCTAAATTTCTAACTAACAATCTTAGCTTTTAACATAAGTCACAAGGCTTGCGTCCTGTGTAGTGTATGCATGTGTATGCATGGGCTGGTTGGCGGTAAATACTTTCATAGCCGATTTCCGCAGTAAACTGGCAAATAATGTTAGTTGTTAAAAATATATACGGTGCTAGAGAATGGTTGTTATTGAAAACAACAGTGCACCGACAAAATAGCCCTCGCTGCGCTCGGTGCAAACAAACCGTCTTTTCTAACTGTTTTTGTGGCATCCTTGATATTAGTGCTATTAACTGCCTATCTTTCAGCAATTATGGAAACACTGATAGTTCACCGAGATACTAGCACATTCACGCATGCCGACTCAGCATCAAGTCGTCTAAAGTGGAGAAAAAAGTGAGTCAGCTAAAAAGTTATACAATCTAATCTGAGCAACGCAGCAATTAGCGGTAACAGAGAAATCAGAGTGAACACCATGCCTCCAAATGCGCACCTTCATAAGATGACGATTTCAAAAAATCTGGTCACCAATCAAATAGCTGACATCATAATTCTTTCAGCAGCTAATATTTTGTTGTACTTTCGACTGACCTCTGCAGTCTATGAGCGCTGCACGCGTATCATTCAATGAGATAAACAAGTGCTCCACGCTTGCCGCCGGTGACTCAGAGCCACGCCGCATATAGCGTATAATATAAAATGTCGCAGTTAGCGCAAATTACATTCCCGTGCTTGTCGGGCCGCTTCACAAACACAGTCGTAGAGAGCTCAGCGCGACATTGTGCTAGCTATCGGTGCAGTTTAATACGCTGGCGATTTCGAATAAATTTGGCAACGAAAGGCTGCGCTACCATATAAATTAAATCGATCGGTCTCTTACTGCAAGGACTGTTCCGACAGCGGTTGTTTCTGCAACACAATGTCGTTGCAGCGTCAAACTGTGTGTTTTGGGAGCACTTGCCAGTATGAATACGATGATTGTGACTTCATTGGAAAAGGAAGCTTTGGTAAGGTTTACAAGGCCAGCATTACGGAGCGCGGCAATTATGCTGGACCTGACGTTGTGGCTGTGAGATCTTTCCATATACACGAGAAGAGTTTTGTGGAAAACCCAGAGAACTATGCCAAACTGCAGGAGAGATTCGAAACGATGCTGAAGCTGAAACACGATCACTTGGTGGTCTACCATCAGATCTCCATCATCCCCACACTTTGTAGTGCAAACGTGGAGTTAGTCATGGTCTACTATCCTGGTAAGTATGTGAATTATACTACGCTTTTTAAGCAATTTAGTGATCGTTGTCATGCTGAGCGTTGTCATACATCCGACATCGTTCGTCTACCCCAGTGTTTCTTTTTTTGGCAGTAGCCATCAAAATCCTTTATAATAAAAGATTAAGAGGGGGCGTGACCAGTGTGTCTGTCAAATCCCCCAGAATCGGAGACTGGATCAATATTCAACATTTACGGATCATTCGATAGCGCTGATTTCGTAGATGAGCCCGCAGCTTTCGGATTTCAAAAAACAAACATCGTTTGAGAGAAAACTGTAAAAAACCCTATCATAGAAAGTCTACGGAACCCCAACACAACCAATCAGCGAAGACTTAAAGTAACTGCCTTGCTGCAGAGCTTGCGCGGGTTGTATCGTGTAACAAAATTTGAAATGTAACAAAATTTTTCAAATTTTGTTTGTTTGCTGTTTTCGGTCTGCAATGGCTTTTGGAAACCTTTTTTCAATAGCAGTGGGTTTAAGGATCAAAAAAATTTAGGCTCAAGAAAGGTTTAAGTCATTTTGACAACTGAACGCACAAACGACCCAGGGAACTTAGGGAATAAGGGAAGTATCCCAAGCGAGAGCTGCATGCGTCGTGAATCTTGCTGGCAGCCTGGCAGTACCAATTATCAAGTAGCTGCGGGATGACGGTGGTGGCTTCAGGTTTAATACTTAGGAAAACTGGAAAAGGCATGTTTTGCGGTAGTTAACTGGTTTCGTTTTAAATTAACCTTACTCCGATGTCACTGTTTCATTAGTTTCGTATAATCGTATTATACCGATGAAAAACGGTATTTTTAAAATTAGTAACAGAAAAGGTATATTTACAGAAGGCGAAGCGGAGCTGCTGCGCCAGCGGAGCTCGCTAAGCAGGAGGTGCAGCCATCAGATGAGACATCGTTTGGCAGTTTTCTTTCTTACGGTTTATCAGCCAGCTCTGCAAGACTGCAATAATTGACCCTTTGAGAGTTATTTAAGTACTAACAATTGTAAGTAGTTAGTTGGTGTGGGATGCCACTTGCCGCTGGAAAGAATAAATTAATTCGGTAATAGCTTACCGTAGTTTTTGTCAATGAAGTTGACTCTATTAATAAGTGCGGTAATTTTTATTTTAATTGCATTTATCATCAGGCAGCAGCCGATTTCCTCTGCGCACGTTGTGCGTCAGCCATACTACCGTAGAACTGCATACATATAGCTATAGGTAATTTTATCAGGACACTTGCAAGTTGCAACACGTAATCTAAATTAAAATATAGAATTTCTAATTGTGATCCGTATTCTTCTTATTAGATCAATTATAATTTGAGTCTTAGCAGCCTATAAATAACGTAAATTGTTTGTAGCTGATTTCTTCCGCGCAGTTTGCGCGGGGTCTACTAGTAATTATCATAAGGTGCAACGACTACACCACAGTGACCGCACGGTCCACACTATCTGCACACTGAACGTTGAAAAAAGCCAAAATCTCTATTCCTCCCTCAAGTTAAAAGTTAACGTAATTAGATCCGCCTTAGCGCTTCCCTCAATAACAGCTGAACTCATATTCCTCTGATTAGATAAGCTGTTTTCTGTGCGGTTGGCGAAACTAGTAAAGAAGATGAATTAAGCGCGGTTTAATGGACTTAAGTTTGAGTTGTCATTACGAACGTCAAATTGATAGGTGTCGCATGAATTTTAGCTGGCAACCTGAAAAGTAAGCTGAGAAGGATGAGAGACAACGAAATGCTTCTGAGTGTTGAAGACGTCCTCAGTTACGCGCTGGACCTGGCTGATGGACTGGCGTTCCTGCACGAGCGCGGCATTACTCACGGCGACCTGAAACCAGCAAACGTGCTCATCGACAACTTCAACGCCCAGCGCGAGACTCTGCGCATATCCGACTGCGACGGCCTCGTTACTTTTCAACGCTGCAGCGTTAGCTCACTGGATTACGAGCATTTCCGCAGCAGCGAGCGCTACATGTCGCCGGAAATGGTTCGTGCGATAGGACCACGGGAAACCCTCACCACGTGGCCTCCGATGCCCGACTCGACCACGGACGTGTGGAGCTTGGGGTGCGTACTGCGGCAGTTCATCTGCGCTGCAACGGGCGACTACAGAGAAATGCTGCAACATCCGGTCAGTGGAAGAGTGCTGGGTGCGACTGGAACCATTAGTGACTTGGCTTACTCGACAGCGGTTATGCGAGGGTATATTCCTATCATCCATGATGCCGCGCCCGTTCCATCCCAGCTAGCCGCGTGTATTCGCAACTGCCTGTGCAGCGCTAGTAGCCACAGAATATCTGCGCGCCAGGTCTTGAATTATGTATCCCAGATCAACGAGAACCACATACCATAAACGTGTTTGGTTCGCGTTCTGGGTACAGTGAAGGCAGCTAGATAATATCGATTCATATCCAGCATCTGAAGAATAGCTCATATATGACATATGAATACGTAATGCGTAGGAAGCGTGTATTACGTACATATGTGCTGTTACGTATGTGTTATCTGTTCTGTTAGGTACGATTGCTGTTCTTATCTAACGCATTTGATCACTAAATCCATCGGCGATCTCTTTGCACGTGCAGTGTGTTGGAGTCTTGATGGAGAAGACTGTGAAGTTAGCTTTTACTAGAAAGTTGGTGTGACCTTCTGGTAGAAGTGCGTTCTGTGTTGTTGATCAAACATTTGGGAAGCTCCTGAGTGTTTGGGTTTCGGTAGTTTTCGTTAGGCACATCCGCTGTACCCAGCGGAAATACTTAGTCTGTGTACGACCACTCATTGGAGTCCAGAGCGTATTCCACTGAACCCACAGTGTATGTTTGGTCATCGCGGAGTACGGTAGTTGTGTGAAACTTCCGTATAGCATGTCAGTATTATATATTGCCTTTTGATTATATATGATATAGGATCAAATGGAAACGTCCAAAGAAGGTCTAGCAAACGACTACGAATTTATTGCAGTTGAAATATGAGACGTCAACGTTATTGTAGGCGTTCTTATGGGCGCCAGTTGTGTTAACTATTATTCTTCCGAATTGTTTTAGATCATATTAGTGAAATATTTTCTGAAATTGATCTGGAGCGATTTTCTTATTGGGTGACTTCAATTTCCCATGCAAGCGCTAATTGGAGTAAACTGACATCCAGTACGTCTCACGTTAATTTAAAACAAATCGTTTCGTTTCCAGCTCGTAATAATAATTTGCTTGCCTTTTTAAAAAGAAACTATGAACAACAGCAATAAACATCTACGAGTACAAAGATCGGTACAAATTCAGCACAATATCAGACAATCATATTTTTGCCAAATCCCATAAAGTGAGTACTCTACTGCGAATCTAATCGGTGCTGATATCATTCGGCGAGAGCATGGTGACTAGCTCTTGCGCGGTCGCTCGCTTGTCCGCATCTAAGAGGAGACATTTACGAAGAAGGTCTTGAATATACGTCGGCATCGACTCGGGAACAAGAGGTATATACCCCTCCGCAACCTTGGAAGCGTGGGTACGGTCTAGCAGTCCTTTTGCTAATTTGCTTCGACCGGCAGCGTTTCCCAGCAGTTCCGGGGGATTCCCAAAAAACAGGGCGGATAATCGCAGATACAAGCATCCAAGACTATAGATATCTGTTTTCTGATCCGGTCTTTCTGACTCAATACCATCATCCTCAACCGATAACTTAAACAGTGGACGCAGAATCTCTGGACTGGCATAGAGAAGCGTGCCCATTCGTGAACCGATTTCAATGGCCTCCTTGGTGTCGTCAGCATAAGCGGCGTCGTCCATGTCGCCAATTACTAGGCTTTCCCGCCCTTTATGGGCCAACTGAATGAAGACATTAGCTGGTTTAATATCGGTGTGGATGAAATGCTGCCCATGTACGTAACAAAGACCCTCCGCGAGATCTCGCAGATAACCACGCAAAATCTTCTTGTCAAGAATGGAACCAGGCTTCTCCAGTTTTTTCATTTTTTTAGCCAGGTCGCCACCTACAAAACACACTCGCCGTACTACTGCACATGCACGCTCAACTGACAAATCACGGAAAATTCTTCGCAATCGCAACGAAAATCCTAAATAGATTCAAATATTTCGACTTGGTGACCTTTTTTATTTCTGAATCGTACCAATTTTTCCGAAGTTAACCGTTTTTTCTTGTTACTACTGTACACGACGACCTAGTTCCTCATTAATTAAAAATTTTTAAAAAAATTTCGTATTACATTAAAACACAAGCGCATTCATCTAACGGCTATGAGCATGGCTGCCGCGATGCCCTTTTCTTGTTTAGTGCTCGCTCAATTACGTAAAGCGGTCAATGATTCGCTTGACCTACCATCGTACAGCGGCATCACAATTTCCACGGATAGCTGTTCTCCCGACTGCTTCGCTGCGATACACATGTATCGGACTACGTTTGAATGGTCCATTTGCAGCAGTTTGTTGAAACGCTCCATATCGCTAGCCAATGTTGCACCGTCGCGCTCGCTGAGGCCTGCCACCTTAACTGCGACTGAATCCCCAATCAGCACGCCATCATCCGACGTCCCTTTCGCAGTAACCGTGCCTTTGTAGACGGTACCGAATGCTCCATTGCCAGCTTCGTTCGTTTTATCATACTGGTATTTGAAATCACTGCCACCTTGATATACCACTGAGTCGTCCGTTTTCCGACCATCTGATTAAATGTTCAGTTTAACACGCAGTTACAGCGTTAACAAAGTTCGTCGCTAATTATGTAAAAACGAGTAAACTACAATGACCATTCGTTTGACAGTCCGCTATCTCGTTCCGAAGCATTGCACGTAGCGACTGCAGGCATCATGTACATATACACTCATGCTGATGGGGGCAAGGCAGTCGAGTTAACTATACGAGCGACCTTCATCCTGTGCGTAGTGGAGAAGCGGTCGCATGGAACGCGACATATTGTAACACGGGGGTCACGTCACACATACAGTGGAACCTCCCGAACCTGAACACTGTCGGTACGGAGTTGCTTGTTCAAGGTTCGAGGGTGTTCAGGGTTCAGAAATACTGCCCCCAGGGGCACCGACGCCCCTGGGGGAGCGCATAAAATTCCAGACGTAATAATGTACGTAATATTAGTGCGTATCTTAATAAGCAAAAGGATATATGCTGTACTTTAATTTATTTCACGTCGTAGTTTATTAATTAAATTGATTCGAATGTTATTTTTGTTTGCCATGTTGTCAAAGGTTATAATTTTCGTTTACTGAAACTATGGCTACGGATTTGTAGTGCATGAAACAACTCGTTAATCTCTGCTAATCTACTTGCGATGAGATCCGTGAACACTTTGAACAGTTCCCGGATGCTTTCACTGTTTCGCACACAAAACGAAGCCGCTCTCTGTTCACGGTTGGAGGTCCGTTTTACGAAGCAAATGCATCACGGTACGCAGCCCAGTGTTCAAGGTTCAGAGGTGTTCAGGGTTTAGAGGTCCCCCCTAATGTTATAGCTTACGAGAGCTAGGCGTACGAAAAAAATTGTTCAAGATTCGGGGCTGTACAGGGTTCAGAGGTGTTCAAGATCGGAGGTTCCACTGTATACCATGCGCTAAATCGATAAAAGTTGCCATATGGCTAAAAAATCAAACTGCGGATGCACGCTTCCGACGAGGGAATGAATCTTTCTCTCTATCTGTATTGGCAGTTCAGAGGCTGGGAAAATTTGGTACGGGTTTTCCTAAATAATTCGTTTAATTGGCCGGGAAAATCCGCGACATTACCGGGTAGTCTCGATCGGCGGCATTTCTGTATTTTTAATGTCCTTTGGCGACTGAAGATCTTGACGCTAACCTGTATATACTGTACTTTCGAGTGAACTGTGGACAAACCACTAGTTTTACCAGCGTCGGCTTGCAGCTAGCTAGTCGTAGTTAGCCATTAAGGCTGCTTGCTATTCCCTTCGACACACCCCTGCTGTGGTTATTTCTGTACGACTACGGTTTTGGCGAAGAACTGGGTTGGATCGAAGACACCGTAGAGTGCATAGATGATTAGAGTAAGTCTCGAACCTTTTAACCTTCTGCATTGGGATACTATGAAGGAAGCTGCCGACCCTCTTTTCCGAGCACGTTTTTACAAAGACTCGTGAATTTGACTGCTTACTGCAGTCTCTTCCTGCTGAAGATTTTCTCAGCATCCCAATGGTTTTTCTCGCCGTTTTTTTACTTATTATCTAAAATAATGATTCATCGCAATTCAGTAATTAACTAGCGTACCTTTCGTGGATGCTCTCGGCGTGGTTTTGCGTCCAGTGGCGTGGACGTTGGTCCACAGCTGCAATTATACGAGCACTGCATTCTAAATGAAAAAACAACTCTACCCTACAGCTACAAAATATGCAGAGCAATCGTGTTTAATTTATATATTCATGTACAAAACCGCCTGTACACGTACAGTTTCCTTCGTTGCTTTCTTGAACTGAGTTTCTTCGTACACTGGTGTGCGAACATGAGAACGTACTTCGTAAATATTTTTAGCTTTTCAAAAAATAAGAAGGGGCATATAGAAGTGTTAGAAAGAAAGGGGTAAAACTATTTCTTAAACAAACAGACAGGTAACCCAACATACCTAAATACGAATGAAAATGGTCATAACAAGAAGAACAAAATTCTGTCTACACTTACCTAGGGTTGAAATTCAAACGACTTTTGGCCGTTTTTGAAATGATTTGAAATGAAACTGATTTGAAATGAAATGATCTGAAATTTGAAATTTAAAAATGAATTATTTTAATAATTTTTTATTCGGATATTTCGAAAATTTTTTCCTGGTATAAACAGGGATATTAACTAAATGGTTAACAATAACAGTTTTTTCACAGATTTTATCAACAGTTTCACTTTATTGTATGAACTTTTAAGCAGATTTCATGGTTTTCTCCACTCAAAAGTAATTAAATAACACTTTAAAGGAAATTTTTTTCCATTTCAAATCGTTTCAAACGCATTTCACGTGGTTTCATAATTTCAAATGTTCACATTTCAAATCATTTCAAATCACATTTCAAACGGACCCTCGTTTGAATTTGAAATGATTTGATTTGAAGCTTGAAATGTGAAATGTTTGAAATTGTGATTTCAACCCTACACTTACCACACAAGCGCAAAGGCCAATCAGTAAATGGTAAAATATCCGCATGATAAAGGCGTGCACCAGCAACTCTCCCAAAAATAACAATAATTCACTAAAGCAGGATCAGGTTTATTAACCGGCAACCGCTGTATACGCCAAAATGCAGACAGTACATGTACAACAATTATGGTAATATGCGGAACTCGCTTCCTTTTATACAGTCGTTGAATCGTTCGTGCGCCACTCAACCATATCTGACCATACCACCCGCGTCAGCTTGATACGAAGAGTTTTTTTCCGGCAACATTGTCCCTGCTCGATTTGGGCATTTTTTCCGTATCGCCACACTTTCACGAAAATTTCGCCATGCTGCGGATAACAGCAACGTCGTGTCGCCGCCAACCACTTGAGGAGCAAGTGTCCGCGCAGTAGCACATGCCGACTCCTGTAATTTCTTGCTAGTACCCCGTCTTCCACTAAACGGTTTTACCGGCAACACAACCATGTATTACAAGCGGCAAAATTGTTGGAAATGTGCCTGCACTTAACTTTGAAGAATATTGTGGCATTCAGCGAATAATCCTTTTGTTGAAGTGGAAAGCATTCTTGTAATCTAAGGTGAAACTGAATGGCAACTTATTTCCAGTTAATTGTAGCAAAAGTGCTCGAACCGTTCGATGGATTTTTTGTTTTGTCTGGCACACCAAATAAACATTTTGCGGCTTCGTGCTAATGTTTCTTTTTTTAAGAGGAATGACCATTTGTTTGCGTTACAAGTCAGCGTGGCCGGATGTATACAAATTGCGGCAGCGGAGAAATCGTCAACTTTCATACCGCAACCACTCAGTCAGTCTTTACTGGGACTTCGCAGGGGACCAGTATTGCGATACAAATCTGTGGCGTTCTTGCGTCTTTAGCTTCAGCGTTTGTAGCGCCACCTGTTGCACCGGTAAGCTAATTAGACAGTTGGATGGATATTTTGGTTGTTTTTTCAATGGTTAAAATTTTAGCAGTGACGCAGTGTGCCTGCGCTTGCACTTCTTGTTACTTTGACGGCTATTGCCTATTAAAACAAAAAAACAATTAGCCAGTCCCTTGCAGAGTAAGGCTCTTATTCACTACCAACAAATACAGAGCATGTGTGTACTGTATGAATGCCGTCATGTTCTTTTTCAGCTTGAGTTTTGGTGCTAAAGCACATAAGTATAGAGTACATATTATTATTATAATATTAAAATTGATAATGGTATATACCATTTACCGGCGTATATTTATATTCGTCTGTAGCAGACTATGTACTCATATTATGTACATAAGTTCTATCGATGTGACTTTACACTGCGCTGTCAAGCAGGACATGTACCGCTGTTGTCGCGTTCGCCTACACGGTACGCTTAACAAAATTTCATATAATAATTATCTGTAAGCTACTAAATAATGCTCTGGATCGGCAGGGTTTTTAAGAAACCACAGTAAGATTTAGCAGGACAGTCCAATAACATTAAAGTAAAAGCTGGTGATGGCGCTAACCCCATTAATTAAAGTAACTGTCTTCAATGGAAATTTTCTTTGGTAGCGGATAATGGGTGTACGGTATTTGTAGCTAATTACATAGGCGCAGCGATTTTGTTTATAGAAAAAAGTCGCCATTAAGCCCACTTTTGAAGTGTGCCGCCGAAATGATCAAATAATTCATTTTGTGTCGTCAAGAAACACAAATTTATTTTGCGAAGAAGTATTTACAAATCACGGCTTGTGAAAGGGTGTCTTTTTGTGTGAATCTGGAAACGCAAGGCGTCGCAAGGCAAACGCAATTTTGGTACACGGTTCCCGTTGATCTGGGACAGTTTATCCAACACCCGACGCGCAGATACTCTCTGGCTACTGGCGAAGCACAGGCAGTTGCGAGTACATGCTGCCAGCTCGGACGGAACGGGCGCGGCGTCATAGACGACAGGAACATACCCATGCATAACCGCTATCGAAAATGCCAAGTCGGAGATAGCTTCAGTCGCACCCATTACTCTTCCGCTGACCGGATGCTGTAGTGTTTCCCGATAATCGCCGGTGATACTGCGGATCAACTGCAGCATGACACATCCCAAGCTCCACACATCCGTGGCCGAGTCGGGCAGTGGGGGCTACGTGGTGAGCGTGTTCCGAGGGCTTAACGCAGCTGCCAATTCCGGAGACACGCAGCGCGCGCTGTTGCGGAAATACTTGTAATTCAGGGAGCTGACACTGCAGCGTTGAAGAGTAACGAGGCTGTCCCAGTCGGATATACGCAAAGTCTCACGTTGGGCGTTGAATCCATCGATTAGCACGTTTGCTGGTTTCAGATCGCCGTGAGTTATGCCGTTCTCGTGCAGGAACGCCAGTCCATCTGCCAGATCCAGTGCGTGACCGATGGCATCTCCAACATTAAGCACAGTTCCGCTGTCCTCAGTTCGTTTCAGCTTACTTTGGAGATTGTCTAATAAAATCACCCAGTAATTAAACGTACATCTCATCTGCGTTCCATTAAAACACATACAACGCTTCTTAGAAACCTGTGCATGTATCTCCAAGCGTAAAGAATACAGCTGTGACCAGAGGATTACTGTGCTCATTATTTATTTGCTTACCAGAAAAATAGTCCATGATGAATTTCACCATGACATTAAAATACGTGGGGATAATGGTGACTTGATGGTAGTCCACCAAGTGATCGTGTTTCAGCTTCAGCATCATTTCAAATCTCTCCTGTAGCTTGGCATAGTTTTCTGGGTTTTCCACAAAACGTTTATCTCGTATTTTGAAAAATCTCACAGCAACAACGTCCGGTCCAACATAATTGCCGCGCTTCGTAATGCTGGCTTTGTAAGTGTTGCCGAAACTTCCTGATCCAATGAGGTCACAATCATCGTCCTCATAATGACAAGTGCTGCCAAAACGAACAGTTTGAAGTTGAATCGACATTCTGTCGCAGAAACGAACAACGACGGGATCCCGGAAGCAATATGGGACAGGTATTTTGTTCAAGTGGAAAGGTAAGAATTCGTTGATAAAATTACTTGAAAGCACCAGCTGTAAATTTAGTAATCAGCATTTGCTTCCGCAGAGTTTTCTACTGCTTCACTGGTGAAACGGCTTGGGTACGATGTAACTATTCAGGTTTATGACAAACGCAAAA